ACACCTTACCCCGAGCCATATTAGCGTGTGGTCTAAGTGCGTCAAACACAGCGTCAGCAGCGAGAGAGTTGCTTTGAAGCTGCTGGAATCCCCAACGAGCAAGAGGTGTGAGTTTTTGCACGTGACAAGGTTCAAAGAGAGTTTTTTGTGGCAGCGGCTGCACTTTTTTGGACGAAAGCACTCGCTTAATGATGTTGGGATTCACTTCGAGATATTCAAGCACACGTCGAGTCACGATTGGCGCAGGCAGCAGCTTTTTATTATCGAATGCAAGTGACTCGAATTGAAAATTGTTGTCATTGTTAATACTGGCAGTTGATAAGAGCATATAGCGTGTCGATGAATGCACCAGGAGACCACGACGCAATTTGAGCATGTTATTGTGATATTGCAATAATTGCTCGAAATGAAAAAAACATGAATGAACCACATTAAATACGAGTGTCGTTCTCTTTGTATACTTGACGGTTGCTTATTGGCTGGATGAAATGTTTAAAGTTTTCTATTCGAAGATATGAAACGCGATCCTAAATCAATCACTGGCTGAGAATTCATCGGTTAAATTCGCGTAAAGATTCTGTCATTTTGTAATTATCAACTTCTGGGGAAGACATTGAAGATTTTCTGTGCGATCTTTGAAGCGTGTTGTCGGTGCGAGCGGATGTGAGCGATACAGCTGCTGACTTGAAGAATGTGATCAATGTTGAGAAGCAGAATGATTTGATAAATGTCGATGCTTATATTCTATAGCTCTTTCTAGTGAAGCCGTGCATAGACTCTGGAGTTTCAAAGTCATCACAAGAGGTGTTTTTACGTGTGTCCGCTGGAACGATTCTGTTTTTAAATAAATGCTGACGCTCCCGATCACTTTGGACGTACTTGGATTTTTGATGGCCTACTTGAGCTGTGACAACCATCAAGCTCGTTCTGTTCTTTTGAATCTGAAGCGCATTTGTCTGCATCTGCTTCAACAAAGAACGATCAGTATCGGATGAAAGTGCATGTATCAAGGATGAATAATATGCTGTCCATTTGTCAAGACGTAATATGTCTATCGCTATCAAAGGTTATTGTTGACACACTCCATTGAATCCAATTATCGTCTGTTTTCTTCACCAGGAAGAGCTGCAGGTTGTAGTGCCTACATCTTTCGGATTTCTCTCCTTCTCCTTGATCGCTTTCTTCAACTCATCAACCGTTTCGCTCTCGTCCATTCGCATCGAGGACAGCCTTCGAAGCTCTCGCAGAAGTTCTTCCCCAGGTTGTTGATATCAAAACAAGATGACACAATTTCTATCAAACATCAGGTGATATTCAGTTACATGAAAACTTCGCTAGCTGTTTGCCGAAAAACTCTTCAGCGTATTGTTTACATCTTATGTTTTCTTTAATCTGAAGTTTATATCAATATCAAGTTACCTTTTGTCTCAATGTTTACTAATACAGTGTATGCTTAAAATCACCCTCCGGATTATTTGTAGTTAGTCAAGAGCAATTCGATGATATTAATTGATTTAAAACGACGATAACGATCTCCTTATGTTCTGTAGCTCTGATGAAATACGTGATGTTCTAGATGTACTTTTAGCATTGCTAGCTAGGAAATTTACGTGACTTGCAGACTGAAAACTACTGCCGTTGATAGACATCGGCTCGTCGTCGGTATCCGATAGATTCCCATGAGCGAGATACGATATACCCACCTTTGACGGCATGAAATTGAAGAAGGGCAGATTAGAAGTCAGGGTCATGATTGCTTTGTTCAATCGCACGCATTTTCGTGCCAATTCGTTTAATAGTTGGTTTCAATGCAAATTTGAAGGCTTTTCGACTGTCTTGCTGCTTCTTCATCATTCGTTAAGCTCTTAATAATGAAGTCTGTACTCGTCATGCAGACTCTTTGTCTTAGCCGGTAATTGAATTGGACAATGGTCGGTTTTAAAATCTCTTCGAATTGTTCAGAGGAGACACAATTAGAAACACATGAAAATCTGATAATTATTGTCGAAATGGTTTTGTGTTGGGAATGCCCTGCTTTTTTAATGGCTGTGGCACCATGGTGTCGTGATTGTAAGCGACAGCAAATAGCATGCGTTCGTGTGGCAGTGACAGAGCAGTGGACACCAAATTTTTCTCTGCGCTTTGATTTGGAGGTGCTTGCGACAGAAGAAGATGACAAGACGTCGGTTCTGTATTTGATGCGACTTGTTAATCAGCGTCAGATATTGCGTACTTTGGAGTTCACACTTATTGGCGCTGGATCAACAAAACAACGACCACAAGGGATACGAGAAGATGACGGTATTCTAGACGAAAGGTTGAAATTGTGGCTAGAGGGTGATGGACATATACCGGCACCATCCAAAGAAGATCTAGTGAGATGGTTACTCACCTGGATGGTTCTGGTTCCAGTTGCAGCAGAAGGTGAGAGCAGTAATGATACTGAATGGTATGTGCTATTGTGTGGCGAGAAAGGCTTGGAGGATTGGATTGATGATGAAGAGGAAAATGTGTTTAGCAACGAAGTTTGCGACGCGAGCGATTTCGAACACGTTTGCAGAAATGGTAACGACGTGGATGACGATTGTGAAGATGGGGAGCGTGGAACAGAGAGCGAAGAGGATGATATGCCTCCACCGTACGAAGGCCTTGAAACAAATTGTTTTGAAAAGATACTTTACAAAGGTAGACAGGAATCGGATTTGAAACAAGTACAAGTGAATGCGCGATCAAATGTGCGAAGTAGCAAAGCCATTGATGTTTACGAAAGTTTGAAAGAGACACGCGATCTAGTTGATGAGCAAAGCGTGAAAAGGTCGATATGCAGCAGTAGCCAAGATTTTGTTAAACCTTCAGCAGCATCAATACGAGCTGAACAATACGAAAAGGTAGTTTTCAAACCGACCATTGTCCAATTAAGTTACCGGATTAAGACAGAGAATCTGAATGAAGAGTACTCGGATGATCAGAGATTTTATTATAAAGAACTTGGCACATTGCATCGTAATGTACGAATGATGAAAAAGCAGCAAGACAAAGTCGAAAAGCTTTCAAATTTGCATCGAATCCAATTATTGAACGAATCGGCACGAAAGATGCGTGCGATTGAACAAAGCAATCATAAGGCTCAAGTTGCTCGACGTCTAATTGCAGACGAGCGAGAGTATCGGGATGAGATGAATGTAATTGAAATGCGACTGAAGAAAGCTTCTATCGCACTTAAACGTGACCGAGAGCGTATCAAACGTCACAGTCGTATTGCATTAGTCAATACTACTAAAACTTTGAATGGTACTGTTCAAGTGAAGCCTGCATTACAGAAAGAGATGGAGTCAGCACTTGGAGCTTTGCGTAAAGGTAGCACCGTGTATGATCATGACGGATGCCGACGCAATGTTGAAAGAACAGGTTTAACTGCAAAAGAGAGTGCTTTAAGGAGTGCAATGCGTAAGGTTCGACTTTTAGCTTCGAAGTCTAAAAAGGGTGTTACATCTCGAGATCTTGATCCTCAACGTGATGGAAAATTCAGTCATCGTCAATCCAACAAAATGCTGCGCGATGAGAATCTTTTTGAACAAGTCGAAGACCAGGCCTTGCCGGCTGACGAAAGCTTGACTGTTGACAGAAAGATCCAGGATCTGCTTGGGATCTCTTCTAACCCGAAAACATTTTTCAACGCCAACATATCCGGTCCCGAAATGAGACAAATATTCTCGAAGTACGACCCAAGTAGCTGCGGAATGGTATCGCTAAAGGATTTTCAATTAGTTCTCGATCATCTCGGCGTCAATCACAATGACCCTGATTTAAAGCTGCTCATCTTAAAGTTTCATGCTGTCAAAGACGGGTATATTGATTACAAAAAGTTTCTCGCCCATGTGAATCTATCAGATACCGGCGACGAGCCGACGTCTATCACCGGCAACAGTTTTCAGTCTGCAGATCACATCAATTTGCTAGCTAGCAATGCTCAAAACACATCTCCAAGAACATCTCGTATTTTATCGGAGCTACAGAATATCTCATCCACACAAGCAGAACTTCGTCGTCGTTTTAATATCAATTGATATTATCGAGCTGCTCTTGGTCAAGAGTCTAATTTATCAGTCATTTAAACAGGAGAACAATCGTACAAAGGGTTGTTATCATTGACTTAACATAATCACCAGCGATTACTTACATAACTTTCATTAGCGTGGACAAGATACACTGAATGAAACAGAAACAAAATGTGCAAAGGTTGGCAATATGTTGTTATAAACTTCATATTACATATATCGTAAACACGGAAACGTTATATATCTGCAAGTCTACGAGTTTTTGTTTTGATCTTGTTATTATATCAACTAGGGAAGAATTTCTGCGGGAGCTTCGAAGACTGTCCTCGGTGCGAATGGACGAGAGAGAAACAGTTGATGTCTTGAAGGAAGCGATCAAGGAGGAGATAGGAAAACGAATTGAAGGATGTAGACACTACAAGCTACAGCTCTCCCTGGCGAAGAAGACAGACGATAATTGATTTATTGGGGGCGTGGCAATTGTGACCGTTGCTGGATATAGACCCGTAACGTTCTGAAAGATCGACGACGTTACCCAATCGTGGTTCAGGCTTTTACAATAGATACTGCTCGTTCTTTACAGAGGCAGTATCACATAGATGCGCTCCAAAATCAAGAAAATAACTGAACGGGCTTAAAGGTTATCAGAGTGGGATCAAGAAATCTCCCAAAAATCCAAGTACGTCCACAGTGACCGGGAAGACACTATCACGTCGGTATATGATGACAACCAGAACCGTTCCAAAGCACACACTTGACGAATCTTGTAAGTGATGACTTGAAACACCAGAGTCCATGCGAGAATATAAACAGCACTCAAATTTCACTCGGTCACACAGTGTCACACCTTCAATTGAACCATTTGCCGTCTTACTTGTTCGCAAGAAAGAGCTGTAGGATGTGATATCGACATGCATCAAATCGTTCTCCTTCTCATCATTAATTG